ACTACAGAAGTCAACGAAGATACCACAATGGCTGCAGTGTCCAAACCAGCATTACCAACATTTTCATCTCCTCAGAAACCGTTTTGTTTTTTGTTGCTGTTGTTGTTTGTTTTTTGTGGTTCGTTTGGCTTTTTTGCATTGGTGTTCTTTTGTTGTTGTTTTTTAGTGGGGGGGGGGGGGGTTCTCAGGGGGGGGGGGGGAGGGGTGGTCAGGCTTACGTGGAAGGAAACAATGCTCGGCTCGAGACAGACAATGCAACGCATAATATTATGATGTGGTGAAAAAGACCGTTTCTCTACGGTGTTGCCAGGCAGTCTGATGTTAGCGATAGCTCCGGTCCCCGCGGCTGGCCAACCAGTCGCCGCCCTGATCCACACAGGCAGCTCAGACAGATTCATCGGAAAAGAAATCCCCCCCACTCCCACCCCCCGGAGTGTCTTTAGGCCATTTCCAAAGGGTGGACATTTCTCGTTATTATGCACAGTAGAATTGTAAATTTATAGGCTGATTCAACAATGTCAGGCTCATAACTGTGCCTGAACTACAACAGGAAACTGCTGCTTTTTCTTTCCTAATCCTTACTATCGTCATTTTCCTCTACTTCTTTTAAATGTTTGTCACACTCTTGTGACCCGCTATTTTCGGGGTGCCTTGATAGTCGAAGCAGACTTTGTGCTGTTGAAGCTAGAGAGGTGAGCAGAGTAAGCCTGATTCCCTACTGTAAGGACTTCTCTGTTGACATCCACCCCTAACGCTCATATGACCTTATGCAGCTGCGAGCGCAGTAAAACCTCTACTACAAAAAAGGAGAAGAAATCGCCCGAACATAAATTTCGTTCGGTAAGGGTTTTACGTAACAGGGAAAGATCAGAGTAACGTAGCTTTTTTAAACAGCATCCGAGCAAAGCAATGAATAGAGAACCATGATCGCCGCTGTCTGCCGCAGATCTGGCATTTGATGATGATGACGGATTTTACGTCCCTCGAAGCTACATGAGGTCAAATGAGAGCGAGACCCCCAAGTTGGTTGTTTTCCCGTTAGTCCGTAGAATGGGTAGATTTTACTGTTCAAAGTCGGGACAATTTTTAAAAAGTAATTACTTTTATGTAGGCGTTTTTACTCCCCCATCAACATAATTTAGATCATGTAGAAAGGCGGGCTTTGGGGTCAACCCAGGCTGAGAAGAATACAGCATCCCAGCAGAAAGACCGAGATACTTGAGTCGACAAAATTTTTCTTCTCACCCTGGAATTGAACTCGGGTCTCCTGCGTGTGACAGCGAAGTGGCAAACCGCTACACCACAGACGCAAATGTTGAAGAATTTAGAAGTATATAATATAAAGTAAAAATTCATTTGTACAATAACAGTAGTTCACAGTAATAACATTTTCTTTGGGTCTCTCCAAAGCCTGGACATTCTACATATATTAAGATATGCTCGATTGTAAGGTCGATATCGCATCTGACACATATTGGTATTTCACCTCCCTGCAGGGGCTACTTATGTGTCAGGGAGGTATACATATCCAATACATCATTTTGTTATAATATCTTCGTCTCTTCTGGAGAAACCCAAAGATTTTCGTAGACCCAACTTGGGCATTATAATGTGGTGTTTGTAGCTCACTTGTTATAATATCTTCGTCTCTTCTGGAGAAACCCAAAGATTTTCGTAGACCCAACTTGGGCATTATAATGTGGTGTTTGTAGCTCACTTGTTCGTAATTTCTGTTCCAGTAATAAGAAACAACTTTAGACTGTGCTTAGTTATAAATTACACAAATTTTAAAAATGCAGACAGGGCTTTTTCAACAGCTGCCCCCCTCAGCGTAGAATTCCCTCCCACTGCATTAAAGGGGGGCACCTACTGCATTTAAATCTGGTCTAAGAACACATTTTAATTTCATTTCATGTTACTACTCAGTTTGATTCTTCTTCTAACAAGCGTGATCAGTAGCTACTGTGATTGTATTTTTGTGTATGTCTTTTTGTCATATTGCGGGTATATAATTCTAAATAATATAATATGTGTTTGAAAAGATTGTTGTACGTTGAATGGACCAGAATGCACGAATCGTTTGTGTAGATCTTTTTTTGAAATAGTGAAGCACCTAGGGCTACCAGGGAGTATAGGCACTACAGCAGTGATCCAATTACATGTACTACAACTCTAATTACTACAAAAATTACTACAACTTAGACCTAGAAAGGCAACCCCAGAATCAGTTGAACATGAACTATTCGTCATTGAATATGACGCATCAGACTTCACAAAAAATCTGCAACCGTCAACCAAGGAGGTCTTTCAGTCGCCTTCATGTCCAGTAGGGCTGGGCAGGTACCGGTACCCAGTAACGGAACTCCCGGTACTACCGCAGGCGGTGTCAGTACCGGCACCAGGACTCCAGTACCGGTACTGGGAAGGTGCCGACGTCAGGTGTTAAACACAGAGGAGGAGGCAAAGGAGATGAGGGGGTAGGGGCAGAAAGTGCCTCCCGTTTTCAACGGAGAATGTCCGTAGTACATAATCTTCATACGAGGTTTGTACTCAGCTCAAGCTAAACCTATACATGTACAAGGTTCATGACCAAAAGCTTGTGAAAGCGACGCAAACAATGGAAAGAATTGTGTACCAATTATAAGGGCCCAAAAATGACTAGGAGTAAAATCCCTGTATGCTAACAAATGTTGATGAATACATGTACTAAAGATTCCCTTCTGCGTTTGCTGCGTCAAACACAAACGCAGAGTCATTAAGAAGGGTATTGACTCTATTACTTTTCTGTGAGGTATGCTCGGCTATGTCCACTCTGACAAGGGCGCGGCTTTCGTTCCTCCGGAATTATTTTATTTAGTAAGTGTTTTACGGCACTTGCAACACAATAAGGTCATATAACTGCCGAAGACTAGAGGTGTTACAAGAGAGTAGTAAACACAAAAAAAGGAGGGGAGATAAAGACGATAGATGTTTGACAGGAAAGAAGAAGCAAACCACACCAGAGCACCCGCCAACCATCCACTCTCGGAATTTAAGGACCCCGGGAGTACCTACTCTGTAAAGACATAGAACATCCAGCAACAGCACCCCTCGGCCTCCCACTCGGAACTCGCGCTTCGAAAAGTTCAAAGGGACCTTTTTCAAAGCCGTGCGACTGGCTTTTAAAAGTAGGGGGTTCATAGGGCAATTTCCCAAGGCCTTGCATTCTGTGGGCTCGAATTACTGTGCCCGTCCTCTGGGCTCCTGGCTCTTTCTTCAGGCTTTCCACTGCTACTCCTCGGCTTCTTCTTACTGCTGTCTTTCAGTCACACTCCTGATCTTCTGGTAGGAAAGATCTACACATAGCCTTCTCGGACAAGGGCGAAAAATCTCGGAGGTCCCGTGTGCAAGTTGCATACGTGAAAGATCCATTGGTGGTTCAAAATCGAATAGTAGGCTTCGGCCGCTATCTGGGCAAAAAAATAAAATTTCCCACCACCTAAAAATCTTAAACGTGTCCCGCGCGCAAATATGGCCTTATGCAGTTGCGAGCTCCGTAAAACTTATTTTAAAAAAAAAAGAATGACTGTGCGCTTCGCCCAACGCAACTCCCCACGAACAGTTCTTCTTTTTCCCCGGAAATCCACCTATGGCAAATCTCATCCGTCATGGACCGGCTTCGGAGATTCATACGTGCAAACAATGCAAGCCGGCTTGTCAAGAAAATTGAGCTTCTTGACGCTAGTCTGACTTATGCCCACATCCGTTATCCCGACGGGCGTGAATTAAATGTGTCAACCGAGGACCACCCCCTTCTACACTTTGTTCGTTTGTTTGTTCGAGTATATAAAAGCATATATATCGACACAGTAACGATCATTAACTCTTGGGAAAAAGTTTAAGACAGACTGACAGAAACAATAGAGAGAAAATAAAGAAGTAGGACATATCAACCAATGGCGCCCTCCAACCACCCGCATCCCCGGATGGCAACAAATCGGAAAAACCCTATCAGCCTATCGCTGATGGTGTGAGCCACTCTGGAATACACAAACAAAACCAAGACGGAGCTTCATCTGAGATAAAAGGGGAGGCTGAGAATGTTTCTTAGTGTTCTGTGGTCTGCTGGGGTAATAATATAGTGTAAAGCGCATAGAGCTTGCTTTTGAGTGGGGATATGCGCTATACAAATTCTATTTATTATTATTAGGCGCTCGCAACTAAGGTCATATGAACGTGCAGGACACGAGTTAGTTGTTTTCACGTTAACTCACAGCACGACCTGGTTTTACTTTAAGGTTGAAATTTACAATTTTTGGAAAAATTTAATAGTACAAACAGTAATTTCTGAATAGCAGTATCTACATCTTCGAGACAAGACAAGTCGACCAATGATCTTAGTCAAATCGAGAATCCTGTTTCAAAACGTTTGGATCAACGAAGGAGAATAAATTTTTAAAATTTGGATTAACTCCCTGTATCGATCATCCTTTAACTACTGTAACTATAACCCCTCTTGGGAGAAGGTAACTGAGACAACCATGAGTGTGTGTGTGTGTGTGTGTGTGTGTGTGTGTGTGTGTGTGTGTGTGTGTGTGCGCGCGCGTGTGTGTGTGTGTGTTTGTGTTGTTTTATAAAGTGTTTTACGGAACTTTCAACACAATAAGGTCTTAGTCATCATATAAGTGTCGAAGATTTGACAAGATACATTACAAAGGAGTAACAAACACAAATACGAAGGAGGGGAGATAAAGGCAATAGTTGTTTGATTGGTTAGAAAGAGCTAACCTGCCAACCACCCACGTGTGTGTGTGTTTGTGTGCGTCTTCGTGTGCGTATGTGGGTGAGTGTATGTGTGAGCGTGTGTGTGTTTGTTTCAATGTTTGTGCTGTGTGTGTTTGTGTGTGTATGTGTGTGTGTGTGTGTGAGAGAGAGAGAGAGAGAGAGAGATAGAAAGAGAGAATGAAAGACAGACAGGCAGACTTAAAGCATACGCTGGAAGGACAAAGGTGCAAACTGACCTTGTGCTGAGCTCCCGTGGGTTATAGGAACTCCAAGCAACACTGGAACGTGCCCAGTGGCGCTGGTAGTTGGCCGGCACGCCCCGCCCACCCCTGGCTCTCTGGCTGCCTTGGTCCCAGCTCGCCCGCATGTTAGGGGGCTGGCCAGCGCTTCTGGCGGGTGTGCTTGATGAGATCGGAGCAGCCCCTGTCTTACCAGCCGAGCCACCTCGGTTCCTACTGTTTGTCTGGGGGCTATCCATGGACCTGTTTGGAACTTTGACCTTAGCTTTTGTCGACTTACTGCTCTGGGATTTGGTCTGAGATCCTGAAAGACCTTGAGATGACGACGCAGTGCTAAAGTCATTCTCTTCATCTTCTTCCTCTTCGTTTAGCACAGAGAAATCATTTTGGACACCGTTCACTAGAATATTATCTCCACTGCTCTCATCTTTATTGTTGTGGTCGTCATTATCCTCAGATGACTCTTCATCATCATCATCGTCGTCATCATCATCATCACTTTCATCACTTGAACAAGCAAGATTCAGTAACGGCACCAAATTATGTCCTCTCGTGGAGTCGCGACTCAAACGAGTCTCCTCGTAACCAAAGATCTCAACGTCCATCATAACTCCTTTACGCTTTTTCTTCTTGCCACTGCCTTTCTTTGAAACTTTTTTGGAAGGCAAAGACTCTTTTTCTTGAATCTCCACTTCTCCATTAGGACACGCAATACTGTTTTCTGCTGGTAGCCTCACATTTTCAGCCATGCTCTTGTTACCACTTACATCCTTTTTGGTTACACTGTTCGAAGCTTCCCAATCAATGTTTGAAGTAGAAGAAGGCCACTCAGACTGAGACTTTTTCTCATTCTTAAGATGGGCAGACTGATACTTTGCCTTTGTCGGACTTGTCCTTTCAGCATTGTACGAAAATGAGGCAACACCCCCGTTGTCTGACACATCCTTTGAATTCTGCCTGTTTCTGTACGAAATTATAAACTCCTTCAGCACTGGGTCTGAAATTTGGTCGTAGAAATCCTCATTCATTTTATCGGCCTCTCTGGCGTTCTCTTGTTCTATCCCTTCACAGTCTCCATTCTCAGGGAGTTCTCCATCCGACTGAGAATGGACAGCCCTCTCTCTCATATCACCACTAGAGGCTCTCCCACTGTCTTTCGGCTCTCCAACCTCTTCTTGTTCCCTCCTGTACCGCACGGGTGAACTGGACAAAGAGAGACCCCGGCCCGATTCTGGGGAATCTTTAGGAAAATATCCTGAACTTGTAACAGCACCTTCTACCTCCTCAATCTTTTGACTGCTCCCATTTCCATTTGAAAGTTTGGACTGATTCTGACCAGCAACTATTTTATTTGAGCTGCTTTTCCTTCTCCTTTCCTTTTCCTCTATCTGCTTCTTTTTGCTGAGAGGAAGGGTTGGTTCCACACCAATTATCACTTCCCCACACTCGGTACACCAGTCCATATACGCTTTGTTGGAAGCACCACACTCGGGGCAATATCGAATGCCCTTTGAAAGCCTCTCGAACTTCAAGTCTTCCAGCTCCTGATCCGCTTTCTTATCCACCACTCTGAGATGACGGAGGTGATCCAGATCCATGCCGAGATCCAGCAGTCTTTGAGTGACCCCTCCTGCCTTAGATGCAGTGGTGACTCCTGTCACACTGGTGAACGCTGACTGAGTGTCGTCGTCATCATTCTCAGTTTTACAGTAGTCGCCCTCCACGCTGCGACTGGTGTTCGGCAATGGAGCTGGGGAGGGATCTGTCGCTGCTCTGTCGTAGAGTTCAAGGGAAGAGAAGTATCGCTGTAGGTTGTAGCTGTTGGCCTCTTCTCCTCCTGACTGTGGGACTATGTGATGCCCGGATGATGCTGTCCGTCTGTTGGAATAAATGAATAGGTTAAGTTCATTTTTATGTTTTAGTTAGCGTTTTACAGCCCTTGTAGTACAATAAGGTCAAATAAGAGCCGAACATTAGAAGTGTTATAAGAGAGAGAGTAACAAACAAAAAAAAAGGAGGAGAAATAAGGATGATATATGTTTTATAAGAAAGAAGGAGCAACCACACCAGATCACCTGCCAACCACCAACTAGGTTGAGTTCTTAAAATATTCCAACAGGACCATTTCTGTCTCTGACAGAATTTGTTCTATTTCGTTTGTTAGATTAAATAGAAGCACATCAACACAATAACTGCCACTTAGTTCAAGGAAACATTTGTTTGTCTTAGCTGGGGTGTGTTAGCAGGCGCAGATGTATTTTGTTTTCGCTACTGTCCTTAAGCGTATATAATTAATGTACGGCTGAGAAAGTTCTTCCATTATCCATATGTGGTTGAATTGGCTTTCTTGTTTAAAATAAATTATTTTTCTAGTGTGTATGTTTTTTAAAAAGTTTTAGTAGAGGTTTTACGGCGCTCGCAACTACATAAGGTCATATAAGCGCCAGAAGATTGGAGGAGTTGCAAGAGAGTAGCAAAAATAAATAAGAAGAAAGGGAAATCAGGGACGATAAATGTTTGATAGGAAAGAATAAGCAAACCGCACCAGAGCACCCGCCAACCACCCACGTATGAAGTTTTACTGTCAGTAATCATGCCATTGATGTGAAGCGCTCAGAGCTTTAACTTTTATAGGACAGAGCATTAAACAAGTGCAATCAATTATAATCATTATTAACAATAAGAGAAACGGACAGAAACAATAGAGACACAGAGAAGAAATAGGGCCTTCCTTAGGTGTACTCCAACCACCTGCCCTTCCATTCAAAAGAACATCCAATATTTCGTCTTTTGACCATATTAATAAAAACAACTTTCTATGCTTGTTCACTTCCATCTGACAGCGTTAAAATAAATTCTAACTAATAATTTTTTAACTTACTATGCCCACGAAACTTTACATGGCACTTCTGTAGGCCAATGACATAACAAACATTTTTTTTTTTAAATCTTGATCCAGACATAAAAATTTTTCCTTTTTGGTTCCTATATTAAAAACTGCTCTTTGGACGCATACTGAGCTAAAATAAATGACTGGCAGTAACCTTGCCAACAAATTACTCATTTTGAAACAGCATACTCATTTTGAAACAGCGACACCGCCCTGCCCCCTCATTTCAGTGTAAGCTTGAAGATTTCACCCCATGGCTGTGTAGATGTCTCCACATGCTCCAAGTGAATCTTGAAAATTACTCACCCCGTCTCTTGAATCCCGTTTCATAGTCATATGCAAGAGTGTGATGTTGAGGAAAATATGTCAAGTTTTTAAATGTGTTTGGTGTATGCTGTAAATCCCCTATTATTTTTTTTTTACCCATTTTAGGCCCCCCCCAAAAAAATGTGTCAGAACTTTAGTTTGCAGTGATTTTTATAAATGGGCTTCTGTTGGTCATCCAACTTTTAAATCTGTATGCAAAGATCCGAGAAGATTATTAAACAGAGCGATGTCTTTATATCTTGTTTTAACCGTGGTCAGACGAAAGTGAACAAGCTACAAACAGCACATTTAAAAGTATAGCAGAGCACTTGGCCAACTTGTGAGACTAAAAAAAGGAAGACAACAAGTCAGAGACAAATCAAAATTGTGGGCTTGATCACAGTCATGTGTGCAACTCACTTACAGATATGTTTCCTCTAACAACGTTGCTGGACAATAGATAAGCTACACTTGTTATTCCTTAACTAATTTAGTTGAGAGTGTACATGCATCTCTCTTTCTTTGTCTCTATCCATCTCTCTCTCCCGTCCTCTCTCTCTCTCTCTCTGTGCATGTAAGTGTGTGTGTATGTGTATGTGTGTGAGAGAGGGTGGGGAGCTGTTATGAATGACTCTATACATGATTAGAAGAGGCAATTCCATCAAGTACTGACACCTTAAAAGGGAGAAGGGGGGGGGGGGAGTGAGGGAATCGTTAAAAAATGGTTTAAAAGAAAGAAAGTAATAGCTGGAACAAGTCAAACTTCCAGAAAAATGGCATCTTTATGCTTAAACCGGCTGTTATGGTGCAGCAGTTAGGCCCTTCTCTGTTACACGCAGGTAAGACCCACGTTCGAATCCCGAGAGGGGAGACTTTTTATCGAGTATTTCCGTCTTTCTGAAGGGATGTTGTATCCCTCTCAGCCCATAATGGAAGCTCACCTCCTAAACAATCTAAACTGTGTCAATGCAGGCGTAAAAACACTAACATAAAACAGCCCACTATGGCCACTTAGGAACATACCTGTGCTCCGACAGCTCCTCTTTGCCCTTGAGAGCCGGGGGATTTGGTGGAGGGTGGGGCACCTTGAGGAAACCTGACACAGGACCTTCTTGACCCTGGGGCAAAAATTGTAATGAACAGACGTTTCAGGAGGACAACTCAGAATTTCAAATATACAATTTATTTATCATACCCATCTACAGGAGCTGTGAAAAGAACGACATTTTCATTATAATTAATCTCTCTCTCTCTCTCTCTCTCTCTCCCGCCCCCCCTCTGTATATATGTACATACAGTACATAGTCAAGCATGGAGTTGTCGAACAAGTCAGGGGTTGACAAATGTGTTCGACACATCCCCAATTTGCGTAAACCATGATAATGTAAAGTAAGAGATAACTGATTTGAAGTAGAACAAGGTAAATAACTGTGGCAGCATATAAGTATAATGGTAGGAAAATAAATCACTGCCATCATGAAAAGTACCTAGTAAAGATAAAAGGACAGAAGGATAGCTAGTGGGTGCACCTTGTTGAATGTAGAAGCAGGAAAAAGGAAGAAAGTGATGCAGATGAGCATCATGTTTTCAAAAAATTGATCTTGTATTACGTCAAATCATGATCAAGATGAAGCGATGTATCAATACCGAACAGAGCATGCCACTCGTGACCCACCCCTCTTGTGTAATCACTTTCTAATCAATACTTTCAATTTCAAACCACCACACAGCTACACACACATGAACATAATTCAGACACCATACATCCTAATCTAGCACCACACTGCCTGTCTTCAATTATTCTACATCACCCTACCAGGGCCGCCTACCTTAATTTTAACATTTCATGTAGATTCAGAGTCAATTTTGGAGAAAAAAAATTAGGAGGTAAAAAGACAAAGAAAGGGGGGAAAATAACCCAACATTACCCAGGTACAAGTAGTTACCGGGCGAAGCGTGCTACCAGTAAAATTAATTCTATTTCAAAACTTATTGTGTGTGTGTCTGGGCGCGCAAAATGAGAAGAAGTGTTGATTTTTTAAAGAATTTACATACTGTCATTCAAGGTACCTATCAGTCTGTATTGAATGTGGATTTGAGTCCAGGGAGACTGCCAAACTGCCTTCAAAATCCATAGCCTGTCCACAAAATTAAAAGACTACACTAAAAAATATTTCCAAACAATGACATGCCAACAGTCCTGGTTAGTAATTTTAGTACGGTTTTACGGCGCTTGCAACTGCATAAGGTCATAAGAGTGCCATGGGGTGGATATCAACAGAAAAGTCCAAACAGGGAATCAGGCTTGCTCTGCTCACCTCTCTAGTCAAAACAGCACAAAGTCTGTCTGCTTCGACTATGAAGGCACCCTTGAAATAGCAGTTCACAAGAGAGTGACAAACATACAATAGAAGTAAAGAAATATTAACGATAGTAATGTTGAGGAAAGAAAAAGCAGCAGTTCCCCTTATGTCGTTCCAGCACAGTATGAGCATGACATTGATAAGAGAGCCCATTTACAATTCTACTGTGTATAAGAACATGTTAATATTTCCCTTGGGAATGGCCTAAAGACAACTTCAGTCAGTAGCACTGCCCTGGTGGGGGGAACTGTTTTGATTAGACTCACGTATACCAGAAAATTTTGGCTAGTTTTCCCCCAACCATACTGCAAAAAATGAATCCTGATTTGGGCTTGTGGAACATCAACTGATAAAACCATGGCATTCACGGATTTTAAAAAGCATGCAAGACACAACTTATTAACTCTTTATCTGGTAGCGGCTTGCCGGGAATGAGGACTAACAAAAACATTTACCCTACCTGAAATCCTGATTGCCCATAATGAGTGAGGCTGCCCCTTCTGGTAGAAGACGGGGCAAACTGATGAGGAAGACTGTACTGAGACACATTACCCTGATGCTTGTAAGGGTGAGGGATTGGCGGAGGGGGCAGGTGAAGAGGCACCCCATTGGTCGGGAACTTGAGGACCTGTGGGTTACTCATCTGGTGTGGTGGGTAAAAAAAAGGTGGTACGGAGGAAGGTGGGGCAGCACTTGGGCTTGGGGGCATGAAAGACTGGTTTGAGATCGCTGCTGAGTAAAACTGTTGAGGTTCCATAGTATGATGGGGGTGTTGCCCGCTAGCTGGGCTTCTGTAAGAATGCTGGTGAGAAAAATAGAAAGCTCCATCGTGTGGGCTGTACGGTGATGCTGGCACAGCCTGAGTCGGGCTTGGCGGAGGAATTCCGTTTGCAAAATGAGATTCGTAAGATGGCGGATGATGCACAGGGGGCGGTGGGTAAGAAAAAGGACCTTGATGATACGGATGGTAGGGGGAAAAACCTGGCTGAGATCCTACAGGCACACTGTCATGGGAAAGTCTTCGCTTTGGTGAAAGTGGTGGGTTTGATCGATCGCTCTGGGCTCCTGAATTGGTATTGCGATCAGCCCATGGAGGACCCCAAGCTTGGTGGTAAGCACTCATGTACGCAGGTCTGCTGTCCAGAGAGGATGACAAGTCAGGATGTGTCCCGAAAGCCTCACGATAGATTTCATCTGCAGAGTAAGTATTCTTCGTATTCCTTGGCACAGTCACCTGGTCATAGTTTCTCACTAGTGTCAGCACCTCTTTCTCTCCATCCTTCAACTGGTTTATATTACGAGTGACTGTTGAGGCCCTCAGTGAATTCTGACTATTCGATGAATGAATTCTATGCCTCGGAGAAAGAGCAGTTGGCATTCTCTGTCTTTTTTCCATACTGTCAACAGAAGATGATCTAGAAGGTAATTCTCCTTGACCTTTCAACTCTGTCTGGTCACCACTGGTTTTCAATTCGTGTGCTCGATGGACAGCCATGCGGCCTCTCTGTAACACGCCGAGATTCTGGTTCACCTTCAACATGAGCTCCTCGAAACCCCTGTCTCCAAGTGCTGCCCGCATTTCCGCTGCACTTTTACCACCAAAGACATCCTCAGCTGTTCGTCCCTGTTCATATGACTTGTAAAACTCTCTGCTGATACTCCGATCACTCATCCCTCCAGTTGACTCCGGGCGATGGGTCGATAAACCCAGCTCATTATAGTCAGCCACACTATTGAAAACCGAAATTCTATCATACTCTTCAGATCGGTCTATACTTAACTGGTTCATGCCCAACGGGTACCTATGACCATCAGGTCTCATGTTTGGTTCAAAACTTTGATGAGGCTGTGGATAGCTTATTGAGTCGTGAACTTTTGTCGCTTGAGTATTGCTAGCAAACGCATTGCCGCCATTATAGTAATGCGACTGAGATGCATAATTAGATGAATGCTTAGGTATCAAAAGCTGAGAGTTTTTGGAAGTGATCAAATGACTTTCCGTGGCATTGTACTGCTTTTGTTCCGGGTTTCCACTGTCATTACCTGGGGGAACTGGGACAGATGTCTTCTTCGAAAATACAGTACTGGCTTGTCCAGCTGTCCAAACTTGTTCCTCCGGCTCATATGTACATTCCTTCTTTTCGTCAGTGGAAGTTCTATTAGCACTAAAATATGCTAAACGTTTCTTCCTGACCTCCTCCACACTGGATGGTGGATCACATCCATCTTCATTGACTTGACTTGGTAAGTCTGAAGTCTCCATTGCAGTGAAAATGTGTAGCCTACACAAACTCTGAAAAACAAACAAAGCAAAAGATATAATCTCAAGCCAACTGTAAGATCAGCTCATAACATTATTTATTTCAACTCCACATTGCCCATACAGGATGATAATACTTTTCTTCAGCTGAAAAAACAAAACAAGTTTTATTGTTACAGAAACAGTTGCACAAGGTCTGCAAAACAGTATAATATCTAGAGCCAGCTTAACCAAGCAGGGGCAGATGTGAATGATCAGTCTAATCTTAAACCACCATCAATTAAGTCGATAGATCTAGCTTTTCCTCAGTCTTTTTACATGACGGAGCCTGTGGGGTGGAAAAGTTATATCCTTAGAAGTTATAACAAACCAGTTCTCAGATTGTTATAATTTTGCTGCACTACCGTAATGGTTTCTGGTGATGAAATCGATTTTGATAAAGTCACTCTTGACAAAAGATAATTCATAATTAACACAAAGAAATGAAATCTAAAATCACATTTTATTATAGATGTTCAAGCTCCCTTGGTCCGATGATGTAATTAATTACAATGACACAAGTTTTATGAACAAACATAAATTTTACTGAGCAATAAAGCAATACCAACATCAATATAAAAATAAAACCCTGTCAACAGACATATGGCATTATTGCTATACTAAAAGATTTTCAATGTTTGAATGAGCTTCTGCTTGATAGTTTATAGGGGGTGCCCACTAGCACGAGCGGATCGGGTCGGGTCGGGTTGGGTCAGGTCGTTTTCTGGTGGTTTCAGTGCACACTACAACCTCGCTGCGATAGTACGAGATGACTTGGAAGTTAAAGTAGAGAAACCTTTAACCTCAATGGCTTCCAGGGCTCCTTTCTGCAGTTCCCCGTTGCAGTGCTGCGGCAGCCTGGAATCCCATAAACATGGGTTACAATAGTTACATCAATAACTTCCTATTATCAAAGATCGTTCATAACAAGATAGTTCACTCAGCCAAAAAAGTGTCTGCGGATTGCGGCAGTCCGCACATTAATTCAGATGGTGCTGCAGTCTTTGTTTTGAAGTTTTCTTTCGTTTCTCCAGAAGAAGAATAGGAATAGCAGTTTGTTGGTTTCACTTTTACCGTTTTTCACACAATTAGGGTAACTCTGCTCGCAAAGTCCGCACTTTTTCAAAGAGGGCGCTGTCAGATTTTGAATGTCAACATGGACACGTGACTCAGCCTTGTTGTGATTGGCTGGTAACCACCCTATCGCATGACTCGCAGGCCTGAAAATAAACGCGTTTGTTTTTGCAGGTCACCGACCAATTCAATCGGTTTGTGCCACGATGGCCGCTTTGCGCCCTCAATTTGGCTAGCCCCGACTATCAAATCGACCTGACCCAACCCGATCATGCTAGTGGGCACCCACTATTAGGATTAACAATAATCTACTCATCCCAGTGCAAGAAATCAGGGTGCAAGATACTGGTGAGTCAGAAATCATAGGAGTCGAGCTCAAACTCCCAGGCCGGATTGTAAAAGTCTACAACTGCTATGCACCTCCTGATAAAGCTCTCACTCTTCATGTGATGGACATTCCAGCAGAAGACTGCTTAGTACTTGGTGACTTCAACAGTCATTCTCCAAGCTGGGGACACAGAGACCTGGGTGCCAAAGGAGAGGAAATAGAAAATTGGCAAGCTTTCACCAAACTACACCTGCTCAACAAACCAGATGATCCCCCCACTTTCTTCTCCAGAGCCTAGAAAACCACGTCTCACCCAGACCTGTCATTTGCCAGCAACAACATCAGCAGAGGATCAACAAAACAAGTCATGGAACAACTTGCAACTAGTGACCACAAGCCCATCTTAATCACCAGTCAAGTCTCTCCCCACACCATATCAACTAGCACCTTGCCCAGATGGAACTACAAGAAGGCAGACTGGACCAAATTTGCATCTCTTATAGATGTATATACCACCAAAATTTGTGCCAAAATCTCAAACACCAACAGAAGTGCGAGGGTGTTCACATAGGCCATACTGCAAACGGCAAAAGAGTCCATCCCTAGAGGAGCTCATGCTTTGCAAATAAACCTATTAATAGTAATTTACAATGTAGTTCTATACAGTTTTGTCACTTGTATGTGTTCCTCCTTTTCTAAGCTTTTCTTTTCTTCCAAATACCATACCGTACTTAATCTGATTTTCTTCACAAAACTTTTGCTTCTATCTCTTTTTATATTATCCTGTTGCTATGTCAATTTCGGAGGGGGGAGGGAGGGAGAGGGAGGGATGGAGGGGGAAGGGAATGGTGATAAAAATCCGGCGGTTCGACATAGGGTCGCCATCGGCATATAATGAATAGGTCAGTCGCCGTCCTGAGGCCTACAATTCGTGACGGCTTGGCCGACGTAGACCCGATATGAAACAGAATATAGGGTCGCCATTGGCATATAATGGATAGGTCGGCTGCCACCCTCGGGCTGACACTACACGCTACGGAGTGGCCAACTCAGGGCCGATGTGCAAAAGCAGGAGCAAATGAGTTCCAGCCGCCTGCAGCGGGCAATAGCTGGCCTAGGTCGGACATTATCGTTGTCCTACATCGAGTAGATTTCTGGCCGCCGTTTTCATGCTGGCTGGGTATAGGGGACTATGTTCCAAATTGGTCCGAAGAGCTCAAAATGCTTAATATGACAAAGTCACCACAGCAAGAGAAGCAGTTGAAAATCTACCAACAACAGAAAAAAACATTCAGCTAAAGAAAGCTGTTGCGGAATTTAAGAAGGCAACTAATTCTGCCCTTTGGAAAAGTTGGCATGAAAAGACAAGCTCCTTAAACTTACACAGACAAGGAGACAAACTGTGGAGCATGTAAGATCATTAAATGGAGAAAACCTAAACAGGGATGCACCAGTAATGCTTGACAAAGATGGCGAGTCTTAAGTAATTTATAAACAAGCAACAAACCTACTTATTCAGCAGTACAAGGAAGTGGGCAAGTTAGAAATATCCCTAACAGAACAGAAGAAGTACAGAGATGTTGTGACCAAATTACACTTAATGACTTTAACTTTAAGTTAGACCTAGAGAACGTATACAAGCTGTCTACGTTCTGTAAGTTTAATATTCAGTGCTTCCAAGCGTGGCATCGAATCCCGGTCCCGGAAGGGTTTTTTTTCTTCTTTTCCGGAGCCTATAAATTAAAAAATTTTAAAAATTTTATCCCAGACCAAGGAAAGCCACTATTGAACTTTAACCAGGCCTAAATTGGTAAGGAAAAGTATAGAGGCTATACTAAGGCTAATTAATACTTTGTGAAGAGCTCCTCTTGGGGACAAAACCAGAATGTGCATGCTTCATCACTACATAAAAAACTACAAAAGCAACAAGTCATAATTAAGGGACAAATTTGGGCCTCTTTGAACATTAGCAGACCACCACTGGATCTAGATCTACTCAGGTAGCCCAAGTCCTAGGGCGTGCTGGGTGATGTTAGAGTGTTAGAACACTTAACAGAAAAGGGGGGGGGGGGCACGGAGGGTTGTAGATACGGAAATAAAATGCCAACAAAAAGGAGGGTGTACGGGAGTTCGCCCCCCCTGCTAGAGTCACAAAAATAATAGATAGAACAAGATCTAGCTAGGCCTAGTTCTGGCAGGTGATCTGCTAATCTTCAAT